ACAGCCTGACTAACACATAGATATCATGAAAATTAACAGGGTTAGGAAAAAATCTGAAAAAATGAATATGGTTTCTCTGTGTTTATTAACCAGTTACAGCTCATCACGGTTGGAAATACCCATCAAGAACAAACTGATATCTTTCATAAACGAACACTACTTGAATTTTTTGCTGCTATCCTAGTATGTCTATCAAATCTTTAGTACTAAAGTAATAAAGAAATCAGTGTAACTGGTACCTTTCTTCAGATTTTAATATATCAAGATAAATTTAATACGTCAAAACGTTGAACATTCTGTGCTCCCAAATACCCTGATAGAGCCGAGAATGGGGAGAGCCCGCTCTCCCTCTCAAAATGCTCTCAAATGGCCACGCGTATACAATCACTACCAGGGAAGTCCTACTCACTGCCTTCTCGTGACGGGCTGTCGTTCTTGAAATTTAGAGTTTTAACCGGGTTGGTGGACACGGAGGATCCACCTAGAAGAGTTGGAAAACCCTGACTCCAAACCAATGGTATACATGGGCTCCAGGATCTTGAGGGAGACTGCATCTCCTTACGTTGCTCCACTGCCTTGTGGATTAGACTTTCAGATCGAGGGCTCCGGGTGTGGTGCCCTAAGAAAACCACTTGCTTCTGTCTGGGCACTCAGGCAGTATCACAGCCCACACACAAATCAAGTGTCTTGTGTGTGCGCATATATAGCCGGTACCAATATTTATACGATCAAATAATAAATAGTAATGAACATTCTGTAAACTAATTATTTTTATTTATTTAATCATATATATATATATATATATATATATATATATATTGGTACAAAGGGCACCGGATACATATGTAAACTAAAAGATTAAACGTAAATACATATCAGGAATAATAATCCCATGTCACATATTACCCACTGCGATGAGAACACAAAGTGAGGGCATCTCTTCTCTGCAGAGAACACTTGTCAACTCACTACAACCTCTATATCCTTTAAAAAAACCACAACAATAATTAAGAATTCTTTACCTAAAATCTGGTAATGGGAATAAGTTGAAACTCGTATTAAATGATTGATTTGCCAAACCAAAAAGTCCTGTTTTCACGTAAACCGGAAATCCTTGTCGAAGAAATATCTGAGATAAACTATTCATCTGAGTGTAATTTTCCAAACATCTATTATTAATTGCAATTAAATAATAACATTATGTTACTGTTTCTTTGTGATTTCAATAAAACTAAATCACATCCATAAGTCGAGAGTAAGTTATTATCGATTTTTAACTCGATAGATTTCTGACGATTATATTTTCAGCCTGAGCTCAAATCAGAATACTCTGATTGGTCCGATTTTCAGTTAATCAATGCTAGAAGCCGGACCGATAACATACTAAAAGTCTCACCTGTAGGATCTATAAAACAGCCTGTATTTTTACTACTGTATTTCTTGTTGTCCCGGGTATCAAAAATATATCTTGTTTTCCTTTCATCATTGTTCTGATTAAGGACAAGTCGATTGAAACACAATCGATAAGGAATACTAGACAAGTCGGAACTAACAATAACACTTAATTTTTATTGTCTTAAGTTTAGTATTATACAATACTTTTTGTTAGTATCAGTATGTTCATTTCACAGCTTTTCAGTTTAATGTCTTTCACTGTGTTAGTTTGAAATGTGGCAATTTGGATGGATACATATTCATACAGAATTCTACATTGTTAACGATCGTCTATTCTTGTATTCACAGTATATGACTGAATGTGCGATCTATTACGATGTTAACAGATATATGTATACGTAGATTTCATCTTAATAAATGAGACATAAATAAAATCAAACTTGAGTATTGATCCCTATGAATTCTACTTTACTTCCATTTTTGAATAATTCCTTGTGCGTAACTTATGATTGTTTTGTAAAATAAAACTTTTATTACCACAAGTGACTTCACTAAAGCTTTTACATCACAAATAGAAAACACTATTCAATTGTGGCATTCGAATACAGTTTGAACAATAAACTTAAATGAATAATTTATACTTATTTATAATCAAATAATAATCTATTCTGCTTATAAACGACACATACTGATGGGATAATGGAATTTGGAACCATTTTTATTGCCCCTTGCAGCTATATAGATTGGTGAAGCCGATTATCTTATCTGGACACTCACTAATGACACGTCACAACTACCGGGAATCAATAGCTGCTTTTGTCTTGCTTCTCCTTATTTCCAATCCAGTGATTGCAGACCATTTATGAACCACATAAAAGTGATCAACCATACCTTCCCATATTAGTAGTTTCTTTGTGCGTTGTTCACACGGTCATTTTACTTAAATGATCATCTAAGCTGTTTTTTCACTATCGTCGAGACTTCAGGGTGTTCTGATGACTTATATTCTGTCCTTTTCTGTTTGAATTCAATCAATTTTTGTGGATGGTATGCCTTATCAGTCATCTCTGTGATTTACATTCTCTTGGGTAGTCTTTTATTGGACATGCATATATGTCTGTTTTCGTGATTTCTATTTCATTATTCCAATGATCATTTCTGTAGTGACGGTGCATCTCTTTACTGGTAGCAAACATTCAATTGCAGTTTTCGTCTATATATTTGATCATAAGCTCTCGTTTTTCAACTATAGTGGGTTTATAATTATCAATTTTATCTAGTCTTACTTTGGTTTTTATTAACTCATATGACACTTGGATTAGCTAAATAATCCAACTCAGTACGCAAGTATACATCGATTAGCTCAGTTTTTTAAGTAAAATTTAGCCAACTGAAGATTAAAGGAAATTGAAATATGCGGCATAAATTTCAAACAATTTTGAAACGATTGAACCACAGCACGTTAAAGTCGATCAATCACTATTCATTGCCTAATAATATATTTAGTGTGAATTATAGCCATCAATAATAAAATCAAATAGGTTTGACATACTAACAATAAGCGAAAACGGCAAGTTCTGGTGGATTTAAAATTGATAAAGAAAAGCTAAGCTAAATATGACGTCTAGAGGGACGTATAAATCTCGAAAGAAGAAATAAACTATCACGTGATTATACAACTAGAGTTTACTAATATGATAAAATATCTGTTGAAATTTTGCAAGCATAGATCAAATTTATTCTGAAAATAACCAGTAATAGAAATAGTAACTCTGAGCTACTATGAGATTAGAAATTTTATCTGGTTTCTAAGAAAGTCAGTGTCTGGATCCTCAGCTCCAGTAAGGTTAAGTTCTATTTCAGCTGTACAATGTCAGATAGAAAAATCGATCATTAATGTGAAGAGTTTATTACAATTATCACAGAGCTAATCGAATTGGAATTCATTTGTTAATCATCCTAATCTGTAATCGACAGCACAAAACTAACTTCAGGTGACATTTGTTGCTACAAAACAAGTGTCTATGACCTGATAAACATAGCAAAAATGCTAAACGTGTATACATAGTAACTAACTAATAAATTGACTCATTTACCAAAAAAAATAATCAATAAAGTCACAAACTTAATAGAATCATGGTTATAACCAACAGATTATCAAAAGCAAACAATTTGCCGTACTTATTATCGTGACAATAATAGTAATAATAAACCATGTGATACTAACTATTCTCTACACAATCATTGGTCATTCATCAGCACATCACATTAAAAGTCATACATTAAAGAGCATAGAAATAATTGTCTTTAAAAAAAGTCACTAAATTTAACCTGACGCTATTTTAAACAGTATGAACACGAAACATAACTATTCACTCATACCTACTGAGAATATTTATCAAATGTGAATAAAGAATATGGTATATGATACATTATGTCAATATAGTATTTATCAATAAATTTAGAGGATTTATGAGTCTACAAACAGATTTTACGTTCATTCATTTTGTAATAGATATAGAATCAGGTAAACATCAAAGACATTGATTACCTATAACACTCAATGTATCGCTATCTTGTTTGCTTATTTGTTAACTACTGATATTCCTGTTAAAATCATTTATTCACACATAATTAATGATGAATTGCCACATCAAAAATTAATTACTAAGCTAGCTCAATAATAATCAAGCACAGATAGTTTCATTCAGACAGATTTGAATTACACTACTTGCGTAAGAATCAATGATGCTAACTAGATGACTAAAGCCAGTAAGAAGGTGAAAACCGGTTTGAATTAGTGATTAACTATCAAAGTCAAAATTACAGAAAGAAAAAAATAACACTACGAGTTAATAATCAGAGAAAAATTTCTAAATGAGGTTCCCATTGTCGGGTCTAAATCACACGATTAACTAATCAATAGGTCAAATGCATTCTCTAAAACTAATAATAAAAAGTCACTTGTTCATTGTGCGTTTGTTGCGAAATTTACAAGCTGACAGATTAATTGTGAGAGAGAAAACTAAATACATGTTCTGTATATTCCTCGAAAAGAAGGAATTATTTGTTTAATATTACCTAATATATGACCCCTAATTAACCTGTCGTGAAAGCCGTTTTCCAAACTGTTGATTCATGCAAAAGACATAAATGTGCCAATTCGAATTTAGATCTTTATAAAGTTAACAAGACTAATTATAACAAACTAATAAATTAAAACAATATGACTCAGTACATTCAATTACTAAGGTGTTTGTGTTCAAATTATTAGACCGATTAATGAATTGTGACAGTTTCTTTGCGCGATTAAATGAAACTTCAAAAAAATATCTGATCGTTTTTATATACTCCTTTTGTGATTCACAAGTGTTGTACCGTATACTATTCAGCTGTTTAGAGTGAAAAAGCAAAGTTCGAGTTTGCATTCCAATGACTGAAAATTGAATATTTTAACTCCACTACATTCATAGGTAAAAAATATACGATGAAACCATATTATAAGCCGAATAGTTAACCTTCAAATAACCTCTATTAGAAAAAAAAACAGTTAAATAAAACAAAATTTTCCCTTAAAGAGAAACACAATACACTTCCCAACTTACCAATAACACTTTGTAATGCCTTAGATAATTTGAAACATTAGCATTGGTAATGTTTGTATTTTCCATTCATTCACGAATGATTTGAAAAGAACCAACGAAAGTCGGTCAAACAAAAAACAAAAAAATAATTATTACAGTAATAATAACAGAAAATTATACATGAGGACTTACTAAAATACATCAATAACAATAACTTGATAAGCTCCTGATCTAAATAGTATGTAGGCAGAAAACTAAAATGAATTTTTACTCGAAAGTCCTACTGACTAAATAAATAACGTTTCTTCATTTTGAAGGATCGAATGTTTGAGAAAGGTTGAACTTTTAGAACTATTGTAGGGAGAAATTAGTTTGCATATTTTTATTATGTAATTACTAAATATCTGGTTTATAATATTTTTATATTGTCTTAATTATGAACTTTCATTTAACTTGTTACTTATCAATGTACGCTTTACTATTTCGGGATTTTCGTTAATTAACTAATCGAACACTTCATCTGGATCCCCTCTAGAGTTACTAAAGGTACCTGTGGATTAGTGGCTAAGGTTTTCGAACTTCAGTCATTACATTTTAGGTTGAAACCTTACCCCACCTACTAAGTAGTATCAATAGCTCTCACAACTAGAGTATGGTTCATATCCAAGTACTTGACGAATGGGTTATTTATTACTATTATTAATGCTAGACCTTATCCCAAACCTAGGTAAACGCGGAAGGTCGAGTATGAAATTGGAAACTGCAGGTACAAACAAACGAGCAACGAAGAGCAATAAGGTTGATCAGTGGAACAAAGTGCAAGACCCGGAAACTATAACAGAAAGAACCGCAAGAGAAGGAAATATGGGAAACCATATGATATAATTAAATCTGTAGGCAAATATAGTAAACCTGAACGATCAGTCAGGAATACGGAAGAGAAACTAATCACTGAGGGTGAGAAGCAGAGGAACAAGTGGATAGAGTACTTGATTATGAGAAAGCATTCAACAAAATGTATGCAGACCTTGTAGGACCCCCCTCGACACCACAGAGCACCTAAAATGACCCACTGAGCCTATGCCTACTGATAATTTAAGTTCAGTATTTGTATAAGTGATTCAGCCAACCCGCCTAATGGGAACAACGACTCAAAGTAACTGGCCGATGTCATAAACAACTGATTTCAAGCTTTCTTTCATGCCTTGTTCAAATTACTGTTGTTAAACCACCCAGTACAAATTATTGCTCTTATATTTAGAAATGAAATAATTATCGATCGTTGAATAAATAAAACGAAAACCAGAGTTTAGAACATTGAAATTATGCAGATAAAGTAAAAATTAAAAACGCCTATTAGTTAAAGGAAGAGAGAATTCATTAAACAAATTACTGGACAATCAAAATAATTAAATATAGAAACTATTATTAAAATGAATGGATATAAACATAACAAAGAATGGTCAGTTAGAATAACTACAAAAACTGTCAAGAAGAAGTTCACACTAAACACTGTTCTATTCAAAGTTGTAAACTCACTTCACATATTTCTTCAGGAGATGGGATCGATTGGGGAGCTATACAATAATAAGTGGGAAATAATTGGATTATTAAAAGTTCGGTCAAAACATTGAAAACTGCTTGTAATTTCTATTTACCTAACCAAATGAAATTTAGTGTAATATAATCAATTACATGTTCATGTTTCAGGATGTGGGGGAGGGGTAAGGATACTATCCAACCATTGAAGCTAAAGATTAGTTGAAACAGAAGTCGAATCTTTTTACGCAATACTTGGAGCCAATAATTGGTCAAACTATTGAACAGTAACTTTACCAATATAATCAATAATTTGATAACTCCAAGTTTTAATTATTAGTTAAGTAAACTCTTTACCGCAAGACCAAGACAACATGAGAAAAGTTCTCATCTTTTAACTACAGTTTAAAATATTTGTCTTTTTAGATTATAACATGAGTATATTTGTTGCTTCAAACAAAAGGAATTTACTAAACAATGATGTTGTTTTACAGTATTAATTTTAAAAGTAGTAATTCGGTAATTGTCACTTTAAGGTCAGTGGTTAGAATCATCCACAAGTTCACGATTTCTTACACGTTTAGTCATTAAACATGCATTGAATTTCAGAAAGGAATTGCAGAACTAAATCAAATAAACTAAATAGATAAAATAAGGCAAAACTTAAGTAGATCAGTCCATAAAGTCAGTGACTTGAACTGAACTCTGTAAGTAGGTTCACCCGAAAAGCGTAACCAACGGTTAGATACCTTGAATAACGTACCTTAAAATCGTTTGCCATAAGTCATGGTCATTCACTCTTTGTCTTCCCTTAGATCCAAATTTCCCAAATCATCCTAAACAGTGCTTTACACCATTAATTCATATTTTCTCGAATCATATCCTTTATCGCTAAGCTTTTCAATTACCATTAATAATGTTACTACTTATATTATTCTGGTTATTCACTGTGCTAATATGTGCCAGCTGATGCATATATGTACGTTGCGTATGCCCGACTGACTGGCTACAAACTAAAAAATCTACCAAACAGTCGAGGATATATAGTTCAAAAGTGTTAAGCTCCAATGGAAGATTACTAAAGCATGTGTTTATAACATTCGTATTATTCTATTAACAATAAGGAACAAATCTAGTGAAGGAATCGTAGATGAAATCATGAAATGAGTACTATTAACAACAGACTATAGAAAGCATTCAAAACAATCTCAGTATACTCTAAAGGACTTAAAACCAAAACATCGGAAATCAATACCATCAGTTTTATTAACGACAGAAAGGAACCATACGACTCAACAAAACTCTAAGCACTTGACTGTGTAATCACTGTTCCACAGACAGGATCTAACCAACCACATAAGACTGATAAATAAGTTTTATTCGAACCCAATCGCCAAACATGTTACCCAGATGTTGTGTGAATAAAAAGCCCATGACTGCCAGTTTTTCTAGCTACTTTACCAAGTATTATAGTCCCTATATAAATCAGTCAAAAGTTTGTAAACGAAATAATCAGATCAATTTTAGACTATCTATGACCACATTTACTGGAGTACCCTGATAATAATGGTGATTATTAACATACTAATTTTTGAGTAAATAAACCACTAAACATGGAAAACTAAAGTCCATTAGTTCGAATTCAACTGTGACTTGTATCTTCTTGACCTTAAAACACTATTCTCGCATAAACATGCAATTTGAATAATTACAGGATCATATCTGTCACTCACATACTAGTAACAGAGAATAATACAATATCAGGGGTGGTGAGAGACTCCTAGTGGCGCAGGTGCATCCATTCTTCGCCTTCCCCCAAATGCTGGGATTCTAAATTCCTCATAACATTTTTGTTATTTTTCTGATTTATATCTTCTTTTCGAGTCGTATCTTTGATGTCCAACCTTTCCTATTACCACTGATGCCGTTACTAACTCTACTATCCTGGGATTCGACCTGACGTCTCCGTGCTAATGGGGCATGGCAACCTGAACAGATGTACATATGTACAGATTCTACGTTGTGATTCACTAACTAGCTGGGAAAATTCTAGCTGTATATGTTTCCATGAATTAATCAATAGTTTTTTTCAGATGTAATACTATACCTATATTTAGAGTTAAAAAAATCTCCTGTCGCCTGATCTTGATAACTACGTCATCTGATTAGTCCTTGATGAATAAGTTCATACATCACTACCTAGTAAACAGTTATTAATATCATGGTGAAAATATAAGTCGACAATCGTTCATCCCAGATCAATACAAACCCACATTAGCAAACGAAATAGCATAATTCAGTAAGAGCTGGTAAAAATCGACGATAGATAAATTAAAATGCTGATTACCACCATTGCGGAAATTTTAATGAAAACATTTAGCTGTTTCAAAGCACTTTATCAGACTTGAATAACTTGAAAATGTGGATTATTATTTACGTCTGTGTGGAAACAGTAAACTATGGAAACTTCATTCATCAGATGAGAGACAATTTTATCAAATACATCCCGAGTACAATATAAAACGCAGGTAGTTGAAACACAAAGAATATCTATAATATACAAAAATAGTGACGGATCAAGAAAGCTGTGAAGATTAAAAAACATCAGTATGATATCTAACCTGATTGGTAATTCTGTCTGAAACAAGACTTTGATTATTTAAAAGACTAACTAAACGATTAGTTGGTAACCGACTCTGAAAACACGTGAACAATTTCAATTAAAATGACAGAAACTTCATTTGGTTTGAAGATGAAGGCTGTTTATTTATTTTTATTCCTCAATGTTTGTAAAGAGGATGATTTTGCGATACTCAGAAAGATTAGTAAATTTAAAAGTCGAAAGAAAACGGAACGCTTGTAACGGGTTCGATGGAATTGTAGACAATGAACATCAACTGTATGGCACTACTTAGATAGTAACTCGCAACAGACTGTTACACAAATATATAATCCCGAATAATGATACCAAGTACTCAACTACATGACTGAGGAGAAATGGTGATGGTTTAACGGTTTAAACTCATCTTCCATATATATCTAACCAACTAGTATTCCAGTTTTATATTATTTTTACGTTTGCATTTCGTTGACTTGAGGATTTGACATGGAAAAAACTTCAGCAGGTGTATCATCTTATCTGCCAATTAATGTAGCTTGAAACTTACAGTTAATTTCGATATTGCTTTTTATCTTGGCACATCACTTACTTGGAGTTGCGAGCAGTTCACCATTACACTGAGGAATATTTCCCTTCTGGACGTTTTTAGGCACGTCCTGTTCGTTTACCACCACAGGCGAAGCTTCAGATGACGGGGGATTCGGTGATTGCTTGACTTCAGTAGAGTTATTAGACTTGGGGAGAGATTTGGGTAGCGGTTGAGGGTTCTGTGGAGATTTCTTTGGTAGTTTCTCAGGATTGGAGTCAACTGATAAATTTGTTGGTTGATTTATGTTATCGTTTGAGCGATCACCTTGGGGAGATGGTTTCGTAACAGACTTAGGTTGATTTTTAACTGGAAGACCTTTACCACCACTTCCAAACGGATTTGACATTTCATCTATTTCATCCCAATTAATTTTGTAAGCGCCTACACCACTAACTGGTCGATCGTCCATTGTTTACAAGAACCTGTAGTAATGAACTAAATAGATTAGAAAGCTACAAATTTATTTTTATTAACCTGTAAAATAATAGCATTGACGGTATCAAAGGCGAGGATATTATAAAAATGACACTTTAAGATACGATACTACAATAAAATAATCCAATTCAGCAACAAAGTAGTAGTTCGTATACTTTTTATAAGATTAGTGATATTCGGCTACCCGCAATTTAGTGCTATCCAGACAATAAGAAGCAGCTATAGAAAGTGAATGTGTTATAAAGCGTGTCTAATTTACAAATACAAGGTACTATCATTGGAGTAATAACTACATCCTGCCCCCAAATGCCCTGGTATGGCCGAGATTGAGCTCTCCCTCTCAAAATGCCCTCAAATGGCCACGCTTGTATAGCCTCTGACAGGGAAGTCCTACTCACTGACTTCTCGTAACTGGGGTGTCATTTACGAAAGTGGGAGGACGAAAAGCGAGTCTCCGGCGCTTTAACCGGGTTGGTGGACACGGAAAGTTCACCTAGGAGAGTTGGAAAACCCTGATTCCAAACCGATAGTGCACATGGACTCCAGTATCCTGAGGGAAAAAATGGCGTATGAATCAATCGTTGGTCACCGGCTACCATGGGACTGCATCTCCTCACGATGCTCCACTGCCTTTTGGGTTAGACCTTTAGGTCAAAGGCTCCGGGTGTGGCCCCATAAGAAAACCACCTGCTTTGGTTTGGGCACCCGGGCAGTATCATAGCCCTCACACAAATCTCAATTGATTTGTGTGGTGCAGATATATCTGGTGCCCCTTTGTACCAATATTTAAGTGTTCAAATAAATAAAAACATCCTATTTTAGTATCAATATAAATACACAACGAGGTGTTAACGAATGACAATCTTATGGTTTTTTGAAGATGTAATTCTCGTTGGTTCGATAATATGAGATAGCTTGAGGTCAATTAAAAGGGTTATCTGCAAACACCGACGTGCTACTGAACCCCTTTGGCTCTAACACAGTCAGTCATGAGCAACGCAGAACCTGGCATGTATACATTCATTCGAATGATTACATTTCATTAGCACAGTGAGATAAGATTGCATGGTCAAATGCTGAAGTAGAAGTAGTAACAGTAATAGTAACAGGAGCGATTATGAATCGAGGAAACAATGGGAGATAAGATAGACTGGCAAAATAAAGAAATTTTTAAGGTAATTTAGATAGTTGGGATCTAAGGGAAGACAGAGTGAACACATTTGACCCGTTATGAAAGATTCTGTGTCGTCACCTAAAGTCTCTAACCATTGTCTACGATAATCTTGTTGGGACCAACCTAGAAGAAAAATTACCCATGAATGCATTTGCAAATGCTCGATTGCCGTGTAGTAACAAATCTACTAGACAGTCACATCCAATACATAAATTCAAGTATACTATAAAAACTAACTACTGTCATACGATAAAAAAATGTGATTATAGTTTTAAGGCAAAACCTAAATGCATGAAACAGACAACAAAGATTTGTATAGACTTATTAAAACTACCTGGAAAAAACTAGATCCCAATTTATAATGATCACGTGAAGTTTCTAATTTTTTAGCCTGAAACTATCTCTGCCGGTCTTATCATAAACTGAAAGGCCTTTTCACTTTTTAGTTTGCACCCAACTTTCTTAGATAATCTCCACACATAAAAACATGACAGAATGATAATAAAACGAACCCGCTTTGTCCAGCCTCATCATGCGTGACAACACAGCACGAATGTATATGAATATCACAGAACCAAACAAGCTTTTACCAGCTAATGCGCAGTGAATAAAACAGTTTGTTTTAAAGAAGTCGGAAAATGATTGGTTGGATCACTTTTAACAGTAGACAGGGAAATTCGAACTTAAGGATATATTTTAGTAAACTATTTTTCCGTTAATCCATGGTACCAGCCTTTACTAAGCATATAAACAAACAAGGAAAGTTTTGGAAACCCATATATACCGATTTTAAGGGATGGAGGAAGTAATTTTCGTTTAGCTTTAGCAGGTGGTCACCTGTAGGTAGCTTTTTTAGATAAGTAAAAAAAAAGTATAAGACAGCACCATGTATTTCATAGTCTCTGTCCAGCCACACACTGCATACAGCTCACAGACGTAACTCATTACCACTGGGACCTTAACTACTAGGCTAAAAGTTTGGAACCCATAATACGTCACAACCAGGTAGGAGCGTCCACAGAGTATATCTCCTACAGTGTATGGAAGTTATTTGCTAAACATGTTAATAACTAAGAGTTAAAAATCATAGTGTTCTACTGAAAAATACCAACCGTGGACTACAAAGTTTGAAGAATGCATTTTTTTTAACCGACGATAGTTACGATCTAATCTCCAGCTTGAATCTTTCTCTCTACGAGTTTTTATGATAAAAATGTCATCATTAAGCTTCATCGAATGTATGAGGCCAACAGCACGGAACGTGAATCTTCAGAGAGACTAACACTTATGATAATCACCTACAAATACGATTGTACAGCATCAAAAAGTGACAACGAAAATAAAGTTTCCTCATTAAAACATCCTCATTTATTCATCTCCATGTGGTTGAACTGAATTCTTAATTACCGCAGCGAAACTGGTGGTCGTTCTGAAAATGAACTGGTGATTGTAGTCTGTTCTAGGTATTGAACAACTCTAGATAGAGATAGTTCACTAATCATAGATTCCTGTACAACACTAACAAATTACTAACCCAACTGAACAACTCACATATAAACTCTCAAATCAGTTTTATGAAGTATGAGCCGAAGGGTAAAAAGCCACGCACAAAATAGCCTTTACTAAATGCAGTGGGAAAAATTCTATATAAATGATTAAAACCTAATAGATCGTATATACATAACAATAGAACTGGCAGAGACACGGTTAACCACAGTCTAAATTTGAAGAATCTAGGAACAAGACCAACTTAGAAAAAGCCTCTAACATATATCATGCAAAATCTATCAATCGTTTGTAAAACAGATCAATAACAAACCTGCATAAAATAAATAACAAAATCCAAAAAAATTCCGAAGCTCCTTATTATTTGCTGAGAAAATCAGGAACAATGCACTTTCGAATTCTGTAAGACAAATAAGTAATATTTATTTGTCAAGATTCTTGAATACCAATAAAGGTATGCCCCATACAAATTAATTGAGGCTTGGCATCAACGACTTGCTCGGAGTGACCTTCAATTTCAAAACCCGCACTAGATTAAAGTCCAGAAGCAAAAATATAACTCTGAAACCCTTGGAACATCAATTTTTTGTGAATAGCAGTAGAAATGGATATTTCTTGATAGTCTTTTTTATCGAAGCAACCTTTCCTTATAAGTAGCCACTGTCGATATATGAAAAAATTTCCAGCTCTTCGAAATGGTTTCATAATTTACTAGGATTTAAAGGCATTTTTATTCATCGAAAACCTACGGCAAAACAAACGAGAGGTAAGTCTCTGTATTCTTTCGATGCCACAACATCGCCAAAAAATATATCTTATTGCAACCATTAACAGCATCCTGGTTTTTGGCCTACCGAGGGATCAAGGTCGATATCTGGCACGTAATCTTCATAAAGTGGTCATCATAGTCAATAGCGACTCGATGCTAACTAACAGTACCCAGAACTGTCTGATTCGTTCTGAAGTAGTCACGTATGGATCAGTATTCAATTGGAGAAAAATTCTCTGAGCACAACCGGGTGTTTTGTCTGGAATTCTAACTAAACGCAGAATAATGTGCAAAAAATGTAAAGATAATCACAGGCACAACAATCACCCTTTGAAATTTGGAAGCGTGTTTTTCAAAGTTTTGATATAGGTATTTAAGTTAAAAAATCTATTCCCCAACTTCGATTCAGTTAACGCCATTTTGGCCTGACAATATCGAGTCCTGGTTCTGCTACGCAGAAGCTGATTTTTGAATGCACGGAACCACGGACTCGCGCACAGGATTCCTCGCGGTAGTTAAGGCGTTGCGGCGCGAATTCAACAGGTACGTAACACCTAGTATGTTTACTAGTGATGTTCCCGAACCATACGAAACGTTGAAACCATTGATTCTTCTACGTGGAGATCGAACCGACCGACAACGGTTAGACCAACTCCTCAATAATATCGACCTACAACATGGTTCCGCGACGGACATGTTGTTAAGGATGAGAGAAGTGATAGATCAAAGAACCTTCGACGATGGCCTATTTAAACAACTTTTCTTATCTAAACTCCCAAAACAGGTGTAGGCAGTTCTCGTCTCGTTCCAAAACAACGCCACCGACGAACTAGCTGCATCTGCTGATCGAATTTTAGAAATTACCAAATCGAATAGTGCCGAGGTTTTTTCCGTCAAGGAAAAACCTGAATCGATCCCGACTGACATAGCTGGACTATGTCACACAGTAACACGATATCTGCGATTTCGTAATGACCCACGTAGAAGTACCTCACGTAGGCGATCTGCCACTCGACCACGAGAGACAGAAAATCCCGACTGGTGCTGGTATCACAACCAGTATGGTAAGTCCTCCAGAAATTGCAGGAAAACCTGCAATTATCTGAATTCCAAATCCACGGACTCGAAAAAACACTCGGGAAACTTCCAAGCACGCACGCGTTAACGGCAACCGTAGCCGGAGAACACAGCCGCCTCTTATATGTCACGGATGTGACCACGAAAGTTCGCTACCTCGTCGACACCGGCGCAGAAGTTAGCGTTCTTCCAGGAAATCCCAACGACGGACGTCGCGAGTCTGTTTTAAGTTTACAGGCGGCAAACGGAAAGCCGTTCGCTACATACGGCAAAAGGTACGCTTACCTTAACGTGGGTTTACGCAGACCCATTCACTCGATTTTCGTTGTTGCAGATGTCTCTATGACAATCATTGGTATAGACCTGCTACAATACCACAATCTACTAATTGACACACGCTCACGAAGGTTAATAGACGGAAACACTAAGTTATCTGTTTGCGTAAATCCTTTTTCTGGTTGAAGATTATCCCCAGTCACAATTAAGCACGCCATAGACCCCCTATACCAATCATTATGCGACAAATACTCCGGGATATACCAACCGCGATCGAAATTGCTTTGTGTAACCAGCAATGTTACACATCACACATCGACTACAGGACCACCTGTATTCTCGAAAGCCCGTCGACTCGCTCCCGAAAAGCTTAGGTTAGCCAAAAACGAATTCGACCATATGATAGACTTAGGGATAATTCGACCATCAAATAGTCCATGGTCATCTCCATTGCACATGGTCCCTAAAAAGGACAGCAATGATCAGTGGCTAACTGGTGATTATCGGCGTCTGAATGCTAAAACCATTCCCGACCGTTACCCGTTGCCTCACATTTACGATTTGACAGCTACCTTGAAAGGTACAACTGTCTTTTCGAAAATCGACTTAGTTAAGGCTTATAACCAAATACCGATGGCAACCGACGATATTCCTAAAACCGCCATCATTACTCCTTTCGGTCTTTACGAATTCTTGCAAATGCCTTTTGGTTTAGGAAATGCGGCTCAAAACTTCCAAAGGTTTATAGACGACGTCTTCCGAGGTCTCAACTTCGTACATGCGTATGTTGATGACTGCCTCATAGCAAGTTCGGACAGACAATCACATCTCCAGCACCTGGACATTGTTTTCGATCGACTCCAAAAATATGGCGTTACTGTCAACATTCAAAAATGCCAAATAGGAACCAACTCCTTAGACTACTTAGGACACACTATTGATGCCCAAGGAATCCGACCTCTTAGAAGCAAAGTGGCGGACACACTGGATCAAAATAATAATTACACAAGATAAAGCCAAAAGTAGTTGTGTGTATGAGAGATTATAACTAATAGACTGGGAATAAGTTGAGTACGGTAGATAATATAACAGTAGCCAACAGGTCAAACAAAAGCCTATTATGAAAGGACTAGAAAAACACACCTATAATCTAGTTACTTAATAATTATCAATTAGGAATGTGTGTAATAATAGTCCATAAATAATTTCTAACAGTTACAGTTCATTTATTCTTCGTACGGATATAACACAACGCGTTAGCTAACTTGGTAAATTAGAGTACTAAAATATCCAGTTGTTGATATTTTAGGCTATATTTGGCCAGCTTTTGCTGGAATATCTGCATCCTGTAAGGATTATCTCCATCAACATTTACTTCTGTGCATCAATAGCTGGATAATCCAAACTCATACCGAAAATAACATAAATTAGAACAACACATTTACGAGAAAAATGTTGTTGTCAACTGGGTCGACATCAAACTTTAATCTAATGTACACGAGTGTTTTTATAGATATATGGGAGCGATAAATCAATCAAGGCAACTTATCAGTCAGTGATCTTTATGTAATAGATTGCGTAACTACACTAAACGGTAGGCCAATAATGTCTACTTAAAAAAGACGATTTAGCTGAGTTTGGCTCTCCAGTGAGTGCCTACAAATTCCTCTGTGCCTACGGAGACAGATATTTTAGGCGTTATTCCAGACAACTTAATCGACAAATGAGGTGACGGCTTGGAAAGGTCCAGAAAAAAAAAACAACTACATTTATTCCGCCACACTTTGTTTACAATGGTAATACGGCAAAAGAAACCATATTATTTCTGGTGATTTATCGTATATCTTCATTTCTCAGTTGATCAAGAACTCGTCTCCGACATATAGCAGTGGTCATAGGGACCCGAACTTATGACATTAGTTAAAGTGTTCAGAACAATTTCGTGACACTCTCATCTCTTCCTTATCCGGACTTGGCTTAATAGACGATTTTACCAATATTTTTTGGTATCATGTACTCGTTTGTGATTTTCCACCATATTTACCATCGGGATCCAGTCAGCCGATGGATGATAAGCATACAGTAGGCGTCGATTCGAGGATGGACTATGATCACCACTACAATTCGATTACGCGCCCAGCAACGACTTGGTTCCTTTGATAACTTGCAAACTAGAAGGCTTTAATTAGTCCAAATAAAGTATATTTATTGGCGATCTCGTGGTATCGAAAGAATACCGAGACGTGCCAACGAGTTCAGGCAAAATGGGCAGAGCGTAATAAAGTTCGAACCAAACAAGGCGGACAGCGGAACAAGTAGTGAGTCTGATACAGTTAAACAAGTACAGTAAAACAATCGCTGGTTCAATTGGTTACAATAATAATAATTGTTTCTATTATTCCAATCGTGTACTTATAGAGACCGGCCGGTCACTACAAGCAAAAGATTCTAAACAAAAGTTACTATGCCCGAGCCCCAACCTGAAGACCAACAATGTGATATAGATACATTCAGGTAATACATCTTAATTGGAACAAAATCCGCGTGAGTGCTTTTAGTGCTATCCCCAATTCATCTGCTCGAAATTATTTTAGATCGAATTATACTAACTTTGTTATACCATTATTTCATTAATCGATTTTCTAATATCTTGAGTGACAACCTTTTTCATTTATTTCAAATCTTGCACACAAAAATTTATACGTAATTTTTTAACACAATAAAAATGTTGATGTGCTCATCCTATTTTAGCATTGACCGATAGATTTATAAATATTTCTCCCTCTTATTATTGAGCTTTTAATATTTATTCGATTGGAATTCAACATTTTGAGATTTACATCAGCCACACATCACAACTGGTATAATGAAACGTCCGTAAGAAAACCAGAGAATCTTGACCTTCAGTTAGCTGATTGGTTGGTTGATTTATATGATATGATACATTTATATATTAATAAGTAATCTTCCCGATTCCCTGTCTTTTGTATTTTAGTGGATTGCTTTCCTTCATAATCGTCATTATCCACAACATAAACTTAAACCGAGTAAAATGATAAATTGAAGCGGTATGTGTGGTAATCCGTGAAGTTTGTGGTAGATCAAGAATTATATTAACTAAAAAAATGATGATAAAGTTATTACGTCCAAAAACCAACGTTATAATATATTAAATATAATTTCTAATCACAAACAAGAGTTACGAGACGTTATTTAAATTGACAGGTCCTGGCGTGTTTGAGCTGCATTTGGTAAATTAATCCACAATTATGGCTGATTATTAATTCCGATGAAGGTTGTTATAATTCTACCGGTAAAGCCAGATGTAGTAGTTAATGGAAATATGGCTGTAGCCTATAAATGTATATGACAAATTGTTATAACGATTCATTTTCCTTTTACACGAATGGAACGTTAATTTGTCTTAAATGAATATCTACACTAGATTCTTTTCCAATTTCTACTCTACAGGACTTCAACACAACTCAGAACAAGAACACGTGATTAGCCTGATTAGAACGTAAATGTATTTCCACACCAAAACCCGACGCAATCCAAAACCAATGAACGATCAATCAATAATAATAAA